TTAAAGAGGAATTCATGGTTTTGAAAATATGTAATTCCACCAAAGTCACTCAGAGCGGTCTGATGTGAAATGGCTCATTGTAGAGAAATTTATGTCGTGGATTTCTTTACAGTGGTGTTGATAGGAACAAGGGGTTGCAATGTCTACAACACAAAAATAGCCATTTTATTTACTCTCCAAAATGGCAAGCAGCCCTAAATGTGTCTTCTTAGTGTTTAGAATGTTGATAATGGTAAAATAGTGCTAAATCTGAAAAATGAAATGTTATTTGGGTGCTATTTTGCGTTATAATGCCCTGCATGTATCTCTCAGCCATGAATGTTTTTTAAAAATATATTCATAAAACAATGTCTCAGGAATCAAGCACTGTATTCATAACCACTTCATCCAATAATGTTCTGTGATGTAGCTTTAAGAGACATTAAACTCTTCGGATGTCTGGTTTCTCCCACCACCACTGTGAACAATTCTGACTCAGTAAATTTCTGTAGAACAGAGCATTGCATATCAAACCACTCTGAACAAAAGCATGCCTTGGTTAAATTAAATGGTTAAATGTAAACCGAATCTGAACGACTTTGTTTACATCACACCATTTAATTATGCAGAAATTTTGAAGAAACGGTGCAATTTCCCTTCAAGCACGGAGACTTTGAGAATCAACACTACATTAGCCTGGCAAGACCAGAGCACTGGTGAAAAACACAGGGAGACACCAGCTTGCCAGACATGCTAGACAAGCACCTCTATTTTCTTCTGACTTCAAATCAATATTTCATTAAATGTTTTGCCCCATCCGTGTCAGCTGGTGCCACTTTATCATGCAATGAGAGGGATTTTCTACATGTTTATTTCATGTTGGCTGAAGATAAGATTTTGTTTCAATTAGATTCTGATGACTGACAATTGCAGCACATTTTAGAAAAGAGGAATAGCACAGCAAACCATCTGTAGAGTAATAAAAGTTGCCCTATTGCAAACTATCATAGCTGTCCTATGATTACTTTGAGAACAATAAAAACGCTCAAGGTGGCTAGAGTAGTTGTACTACTTGTGAATCATACAGTATGTCTAAAATACCCCAAAATGACCACTTCACACTTGACTGCAGATGAGAAACATCTGAACAGCGCTTCAAGAGTCTGATCCGAAGAGGTTTCATTTTTACAAAGGGGAGTATGAGCCTCTATTCAGAGACAATAACCTTTTATCTCCAAGAACAGGCAGCTGTGCTAAAACAAAATGGGACGTTCTTACAGGACTTCAATTCTAATTCGCCAATCCAGGCCCAACTTTGCCTCCATGAAAACCACGAGTGTGAAACTTATTCTCCAGTGCATCCTTGAAACTTAACAGGAAGACCCTCTAGATGTTCAGATTATAATTTCTTCAGATGCATTTAGAATGTAGCAGTGCTTATTCTTGCTTTTATAGAATGGCTACTCTGGCAGCCCTTGATGTAACTAGATTTTCTCTGCAGGAGTTTTCTCAAGTACAGTGTGACTAAGGTGGAAACTAATAAGAGAAAGTTCATGAACAAATCTATGCTTCCTTTAATTACTTTCCAACCGACTTACTGTATCTTCTAAATGCCCCCTAATAACCCAGGCAACATCAATCTCTTATAGCGTTCACAATGACAAATATCGCTTTTCAAATGGAGTCTAAAACTCAAAGGGCTTAGAAAACTTTGAAAGTTACAGGAAATCAAGAGCTGTCAGCCCAATCTGTTTTTATGCTGATTTCTTCTTTCTCTTCCACTCTCGCTCTGATTAGCTTTCAGACAGCACAGTCTATTATACAACAAAAAACAACCTTTCTATTTCTCTTCAAAACAAAATAACAGTTCATCACAACCTCTCAATGAAGCATAAAGGTAGAGCAAGAACATCTAAAAATATCACTTATTAGGGCTACTTTTATTAGGAATACTATTATATTACTTGAAATCACAATTTTGGACAATGAAATGAAGTACTTGTGAAAGGACACAATTAATGAACCCCATTAGTTAGTATGCCTGCTGCATCCAATCATTTCTATTCACAGAGAGCAATACACATCAACAGAGCGGCCTAATGAATCAGAGGAATGTTCACTGTACGCACTGACCAGCCACAGATGTTCCGCTTAATGACCTGTGCACGTTATGACAAATCGTAGGTGGCTCTTCAGCCTGCATAGCAATGCGCTGTTTCAAAATCACAATTAATAATCAAAATTATCATCTTTCAGTTGTCATGACAACAGGGTCCTGCTAGTTATCAAAACCTGCATCAAAATAACTGGTAATAAAAACGTAGCATATGAGCTGAACCTGTGGTCTGATATACAGAGCAAATACAGTAGAAGATCAGAAAGTAACAGATGGCAAAGATATCCTCTACACTTTCCCTGAAGGCCGATAAAGATGCACAGCTGTCAGCCCTTAGTCACTGAGCAGCTTGCTCACCTTGGCCGACGACAGCTTTATAAGCCCACATTAAAGCAAATCACTGCCTACCTGCCAGTAAAAAAAACAGAAAAAAGTCCATTTAATTTTTAACAGCAGAGATATGCTGACTAACTCCTAACGCTTGTAATTAATGTAGCACAAACTTTTATTGTTCATAGACTTTACATATTTTTAATTCACCGATCTTATCAAGCACCACTGGAAATGTCTCCAGAGAATCCAGCACATAAACAGTGATAACTATTTTTCATTATTTAACATCAGAGTGAAACAAACAACTTCAGTGCATTGCACTTAACTCTGCTTGCTGGGTTTAACGGAAACTTTTTTCCCCAACCACCAATCTATATCAAAGGCAAATATTAAATTGGCTTAATTTGATTCTTACTGATTTTTATTTTATCAAAAGATATAATTAAATAACCAAAAGCCTCCACCAGAAGTGTCACGCTTTTAGTGAGGGTGAGGCCAGTTTATGTGGTCAGATGATAAAAGTTAGATGAGCTTTATCACTTCCAGAGAGCCTTGATCTGCCAATTTCAAAGTGCCGCCCGCCTCTGCCGAGTCCCCTACTGCACAACACTGCTGCCTCCCAGGACCACTACACTCATCTTGTCACTGCTCTCTCCCTCACACAAACCAGCCATCATTTAAATTAGGGAAACGACACTGCAAGGCTGTCATGAATTACGCATTTCCCCATAAGCTTCTATATGAAGAGATATTAATCAGTTTGCAGAAACTAGGGCTCCAGGGATCATGACAGACAAATGCATTGTCATTTTTTGGACTGAAACAGAAATACAGTAGTGTGCAAAAGTCAAAGAACCCTTCATTTATTTCTTTTCCAGTTGAAATGCCAGTAAGTCCAAGTTATTCATATTAGATGTAAGATAATCCACTTGCATAAGGAAGAGAAAAGTTAAAGTGAAACTAAAAACACAGGAGTTTCGAAAACTGGAGTTCAAAAAATGATTAAAAGATAAAGAGAAAATGGGACTCTTATCAACCATGTGAGGACTGGTAGCCCAGCAAAACTGTTCCCATCAGATAAACAGTACTTAAAGCTTTCATCTTTCTGCTTTTTCCTGACACTGAAAATGAATAACTTGTATGGCTGTTCTCACTGAAAATTACATTAATGCAGGGCTCTGATTTTTGCACTGTACATTTTTCATCCTTTCTTCACTAGTTAGGAACACAGGACAATGCCAGGCCATTGACTTTTTTCCTGCACTCTTGAAAGGAGGGGAGAAATAAATAATCTTCTATGATTGTGCTGAGCCTGTTGCTGGACCACACCACTTCTCACAAATACCGCATCAGATACAGACACAGTGAAGGCAAAACATGAGGTACTGACTTGAAGAAAGAAAGCAGTGCTTACACAGGATGGAATGCAAAAGAGATTCTGTAAGAAAGGGAGAATCATTCTTATGAGCTCTGCCCATCTTGTGCTATCTCATGCTCTGTGCCCTGTGACTCAAATCTGGATTGCCATTCTTTATCTACTATTCATCAGTCTGCTTGGAAACTGCACACGTGTGGCACTCCAAAGACACAGACAAAAAAACAAAGCCTAAGCACAATGGCACCACACTATAGTTGAAAAGTTATAGAATTATGTAGAAGTAACAAACATATATTTTTCTTGGAGGTAAGATAATTCCACACACAAAGCGGTGAAAGATAAACAATACTAATAGAGAACCTATGGAACTTATGCTTACTAATGGAGCAAGAGCAGATACAGAGCAGGAGGGCTGATAGAGCTTTCACATGGCCAGCTAATTGGATTCCCTGATGTGAAGTGTTTAGATGCCTTGTTACCCTCAGGGCTTAATTAGCTCAATAAGCTTCTGTTCTACAATTAACGTTCCATTTTTAATACACACCAAAGCTTTCATGGATGGTAAAAATATACCATGCACATTTACAGAAATGTTACTCTTTTTTGTATATATCAGACTGTCTGACCATTAGTTATCCACATGATTGCATTCTGGATATTCAAAAGTAACCAATGACCATAGTAATGGGAGTGGAGCGTGTGTCAATGAATACATGCATTCTTCTGTGCAGTAACAAAAATCACAAGAGTTGTAAAACTATCATGATACAGTTTCAGACAAGCACGTATAAAATGCTTTTTTTGGTCCTGTACATATCTTATATATTCCTCTCTGCAAAATATAATTATATGAGAATAACTTCGAACTATCCTACTTCTTACACACTGTGAGAGATCAGACAGTAACAACCGGATACTAGATTGATACAACTTGCTCTCTCATTTCTACTGAATGACAGTTCACGGCCCATCACCACCTTGACTGTTCAACGTAGAGAAATCAGCACTGCTTCGGGACAGCGTGGTCTTTTTGAAGTTATGACGCAAAAATGTAATGCACAAAAACTCCATAAAAGGTTAAAACGCCTGCCTCAGTTTCTGAGAATCAGCAGTATGAAGAGTTTTTGTTTTCTTTTGCTTCACAATATAGATGAGCATTTAGCACAGCTAGTTTTTAGCCATTAGCAGATCACACTAGACGGCTATTTCATCTTCCAGGCTGTCAGATGGGGCGTGTTTGTTAAGCACGTTTAGCAGGCGCAGGGTGCTCTCGTCTTGCAGCCCCCAGCTGTCACGTTCGTCACTCTCATCTGTGTTGGACTCGTATTCGGAGGCGATACCTGACTCGCGGAATTTCAGCAGCTCCAGGCTGCCCAGAAGTTCGTCCCGGGCTGAGGGTGACACCTCCTCCGAGGATGGGTCGGGACTCTGCTCCTGCTGGGGTGGTCCCGGGAGAAAACGAAAACACTCAAACTTGGCCAAGGCCTGGTTCCTACCTAAAGGACTGCCCAGGGGCAGAGACAGCTGTGTTCCATCATTCAGCGGTGGCAGGACGGCATCCTCGGGCCGCGGGGTGGTGGGGTCGCAGATGACCGGAGGGACGTTAGCTCGGAATGTGATCTCCAACAGACTGTCCTGAGATCCCACTTCAGAAATAAAGAACATGAGGAGGAAATTATTCAGGTGGAAGGAGCAGTATAGACAAAAATATGTTTCTAACAGAACCGTATTAGATGAAATGAGAATATTATCAATATTTGGAAGATGAAAGTGATTTCACAGTAATTAATTCTGATGAAGGACATAGGGAAGAGAAGCTGAAGAAGACTACTGAAGAAAGAGATTACAATTACAAACAACACAGATGCACTGATCATGAATTCTGGCCAATTCTGATACTTATTTCTTTACAGCCTAATTGGCTGATGGCTGATTTTTGGTTGATTTTTATTAACCTTTTTTAACCCAAAGCTCACACTCTGGGCTAAATGAACACATGAAACACAGTAGCACATTTTAGGTACTTTCTATTAAACAAAGGAGCAAGATAAAAAACATTATTTGCTCTTAAATGGGCCAAACTGACATTTTAAATTCTTAAACGAATAATTGTTTGTCTTTTTAAATAACATGAATCAAAGAAAGACCTACACCAAAAGTAAGAGGCAAATGGTTATTTAGCACAATGAGTCATACATAATTATGCTACAACATTTTGGTAGCAGCAACATTCAAATACAGTGAGAGTGAGCTTACTTGGCTTACATTATTTACATCATAAAATGTTTTCATTTTGGCCAAAATCAAAATGTTTAGAGCAAAAACCTGCTCAATCTTGATTGATTCTAAACATGCATCCATCGTAACAGTTATATCAAAGCTGGAAAATCAGTGAACAGTCAATTTCCCTTTAAGCAATTTCAAAAAGTACTGTCTACAACACAGGCCGGTCATGAATAGGCAAGTTCTTCAAGGTGGACTGAACAACATGATCTATGCTCAGTAACAATGCTGAAAAAAAGCATTAGCAATAACTGCGTTGATAGACAGCAAAAAGCCACCTACTCTTTCTTCATTTTACATTGCAAACATAAAACTTGTTTTATGTGCTTGCTGTATAAAACTACCAAGCATTGTTCTATTAGCGGAGTGGATGATTGTGAGGATGCTAATGCATCTTCACATTACAGTGTGTAGCATGCATGGTTCAGGACACCAGGAGATGAATGCACTTTATCATATGTTGATAACATTACATAACACCTGGGCAGCCCAGGTGAGACTCCACTGGACTGCCTTTCAAGGTGCTAAATCGAGCCTGATGGTTCATGACGGAGGCGAAATGAGGAAAGTGCAAAAAAAGTGAGAGAGAATGAGTTTGTGACAGAGAAAATACTTGTGTACAGGTGGAGGATCGACAGCATAAAAAGAAACTATATATGGAGACTTATAGGATAGATAGCCAAAAGAAGAAAGAGATGTACAGCCCAAAAAGCATTTAGCATCTGTGCCTCCAGAAGCTGGGCATTATTTATGCCTATATTTCACCCGTCTGACACTTCAATATCTTACAAAAACGAATGAATACAAAATGTAGGACTGAACTGTTGACCTGAAGGTTTACTCTGATTTGAATGGACAAAAGCAATTCATCTGGTATAAAGACACACTCTCTTTAAAGGAAATGAAATGGAACAGAGCACAGGCAGCCTCAGACAGGCAGAACGGACATGTTGGAGATATCTGGTTGGGAGAGAATATGGCAGAGATGGATGAGGCGGATAATGAAAAGAGAGAGAGTGCCTGACAGACAGAGTGATGGAATGAGGAAGAGCTGAGAAAGCAGAACGAAGCAGCTGAAAGGAAACTCACTGGAGCCGTGACCGGCCAACTTGAGCTCCAGCTCCTGGACCTGTTTGACCAGCAGCGAGATGTGCTGGAGAAGGTCCTTGTTCTGCAGCAGCAGCTGGTGCACACGCGCCTGGGCCTCAATCCTGGCCGCTGCCTCTGCTGAGAGCTGGTCCTTCAGCAGGTGAACCTGAAAAGTTTTACACAACAGTTGCAATGACCATCAGTTTGAGTAACTTTTCAAAGTGATTTTGATACAAATGAATATATTTTTTGGCACCTCCTAATGACTTAACAGACTGAAGATCAACAGGGTAATAATTACGAATAATGCCACACGCTACTCATTTTATCCCCTTGTTGTGATGCCAGTACTCATCAGCACTCAAGCTTTAATATAAGGCAAAAGTTACTGTTCATATCTTGGAACACAATTTGATGAACATGAAGCTGAGTGCAAAATATGGTCAAAGTATTAGCTATTTTATGGTGGTTTTGTTTTATTATATTCCCATTTTATTACAAATGAAAATCAAACAGAAATCTAAATTTTAAAAGAATGCAACTTTCCAGAATTTCTGATGGTCAGCTGGAAGGTTTCCGCAAACATATTTTTTACTGAATACTTTATGGAAGTGGTAAATATCAAACAGAATCACTAAACTTTGCATAAAAGTTTGTACACTCACTGGAGGTGAATAAAGTTTTGCTGTTAAAAAAAGAAATGCATTAAGTTATGATGGAATGCATTTGTTAAATTAAATATGAAATTTGAAATATGACATATAAAATATGACTGATGACTGGTATTTCCATTTTTGTGTCCGACTAGCTACAAAACACAACAGACAGCAGCAGGTACCACTGGACTAATGAAGAAATTAAAACGTAACTCTATTTGACAAAAAAGGCATAATGGTTAGATCAGAGAGTAAAAGAAATCCTAAAATACCCGCCACTGAAATTTTCTGAGCAGTTGTCTGCCAGTGTGTTCCATCGCTGCACGCTTACGATGCAAAATGGCCAACATCGATAAAATTTAATTGCAAAGAGAAATTGCTCAACATTCAAATTTGTCCCTAAGCTCAGCCCATATTTCTCAGAAGTGTTTTTACAGACATGACATTGAAACTTCTGTTGTATGTATTCTGTTGTATAGAGCTGATGGCAATAGCCTCAATCACAAACAGCCTTAATCACATTTTATTGCAACATTTCAGCTATTTGCTTGAATTTCATTCGACAGCTGAATGGAAACCTGGCTAGTGTACCTTCTGCTGCAGGACAGAACATGTATATGCAGGCAAATGTGAGCTGAGCAATATGTACAGTGTCACTATGTTTGCAGAATAGAGAATATATGTCCTGATATTTTGTCCTTTCAATGGACATTTCTGAAGAGGCACAATTCAACCTCCGGCTCCTCAGTGCTAAAAAGTGGAAAAGGAAATTAAATGAAACAGACAAGCCTGGGTTCAGCAATACTGCCTAAAACATTCATATCTGAATATTTTACTCTTCATGTATGAAATACATAGTGATGTTTCATCCTCACACATCTCAACATTTACAGGCTTATCAACATTCAGTGGGTCATATATTCAGTGTATACTGAAATAAATTAAAAGCAGACCCTCAGGAGAAATATACATTTATAAAAAAAAAAAAACTCATGCAAAGAATTTTCAAGTTATGCTTATGCAATGCACTTCACCCATTTTAAAAGAATCAGAAACAGGGCAAGAGTGAACATTGTGTTCCACTGGTGATACAGTATAATAAGGTAAACTGAAGAGCTTTATGGAAATTTAATGCAGAAGTTTCGAGGATTAAAAGAAAAGAAAGCTTCTGGTTTCCATTAAGGATAACCTGCACAGCCATCGATCAATAAATTATTCAAACATAGGATAGGAAACCTGCAGCAGAAATCAGAGAGGTTAACATATCTTACAGAAGACTGTGCAAAAGACACCTCAAATTATGAATCAAAGCCTCTCTTTTAAATCTGCCAGAGGAGTTATGTTGCATGCATGTCCTTGTTGACAACAGCAAAATCAATTTAGCAACTTCAGTGTGTAGAAACAGCTTTCTGTGCTACTATCTATCTTTTCTATTGCTATACAAAACATGCACAGGGGTTCCTTTACTGTTAGAAAACCATTTTGTTATGAGCAAGTGTGCAAACTCATTCAGAGAGCAGTTCGGATCAGTAAGCACTTATTATTTTTTTGTTTAATCATAGTAAACAAAGAGCAACTGATGTGTGAAAAATATTCCTATTCATGTGTTTTCTTGTTCAAAATGTAGTTTGTGACACAAACTGAATAAAAATGGAATTTTTGGCTTTTGACTTTTTACATTTTGAAATATTCTTTATATACCAAAAACTACAAAAATCACTTTATTAAAGGAAAACAGTAGTTTTTGCATTTGCCTTAAATAATTAGCTGGGTATTCAATAAGGCATGTATTTTAACCAAGAAATGTTAAAGCACAAACAGCTGATGCTGCATCTCCTACTGCAAAGTGTGCCCTTCTTTAGTCATACCAATATAAAATATTTTGGAAATTGTTAAAAGAAGAAAAAATATTATTGGATGGCTGTCATGTGAGGGAAGCATTTATAAACTGTATAACTGGGATTAGCATTAGCTAATGAGTAGCCCAGTCTCACCCAAATGCTCTTTAACAGTACGATAAATACGTCATCAAACATCTGTTTGAAATCAGTCAAATCTAAACATCTGTCTGATATATATATTTTTAAAAAAAATCTGCCGATGCTAATATGACTTCAGTATCATTCTGTGTCCCTAAAAGTGCATAAAGTAGGCTTTATAAAGTACATGATGTAAAATATACCAAAAAACATCTTTAGACAACAACAAAAGTTTGCCTTCCAATGTGCCTAAATGACATATCACCCTTCAGTCTGAAAAGGCTATCTACTGTTCACTCCCAAACCTAGAGCAGTGTACTAATCTAAGCCGACTACCTTCAGTACAACCACACCGATAGTGATATTAGTGTAATAACAAATGAAGTTTGAAGGACAAATATTGCAGGAACCTGGGAAAAAAGGCTGCAGTTGTGTAGATTTCAAAAGCACACTGACAAACATCTCGACCATTAATCAAAGGGTTTATACAGAAATAACAAAAGCATTGGCTTTAAGGAGATGTTTGAAGTGCCTTTTTCATTTGAGAGGTAGGGGCTCAATGAAGAGAGTACTTGAAAATGTCACTTGTGATTCAGTGACATAGTCTCAAGTAGCAAAGCAATAAGGTCTCCACCTAGAGTGCTGAACACACAGCAGTACTGTGTACGTGTTTAAAACGTAGCCAGGACAAAATGGAATGCCCTCCTGAATCCAAATATACACATACTCACAAACAAAAAAACAGTCCTAACCATCTCATATTCTGGTAGGTCTGGACACTCGAGACCTGCATAAACTTGTAGTTAAATAATACGACAAGCAGACACAGTACTGTGTAAAACTGACCACTCTTTATTTATTTAATTTCCTGTCAAAACGGCAATTAAGTAGAAGTTATTCATTTTCAGAAGACATTTCCGAGAAGATACGATATAAAGTAATGTACTTTCATAAGGATGGGAAAGCCACAAAAAAAAGAGGAGAAGAAATCGGAGTTTCCAAAACTGGAAAAATATTCAAAGATATAAAGAAATCAGTGTAAAACTTCGTAGACCAAGTAGTAGACACCAAAATGTTTATCTGATGGTGACCACTTATGGTAGACACTAACTTAAAGCAAGAAAATCAAGCTCTACTCCTTCAGATCCACAAGTGTTTCTGTCCATCCTTCCATTGTGTCATGACAATGCTTTGGGTTGTGCTTGTGATTACTTGGATTGTGACAAGCAGAAAATGCAACCCTGAACTTATGAGGAATGTGGAAAAATATTCCTGCAGAAAAACTGAAAGCAAGTCTCCTGAAAAGAATGGAGGCTGTAATAAAGGCCAAGCATGGACACACTAAATATCGGAAAAATCTTACGTTATATTTAGTTGTTGAGGCTTCTGTGTGATTTTAGGTTTCTATGCAGTTTTCTATGTTTTTCCTGACTAAGAAAATGAATAGCTTGAAATGGCTGGTTTTTTTTTATATATATTTTTTTGGGGGATTTTTACCCAATTTTCTCCCCAAATTTAGTCGTCTCCAATTCCACCCACTAGTTAGGACTCCCCAAATCACACGATACCATCAACGCTAGGAGGGCGAAGTCTAACACAGGCTACCGCTTCTTTTCGAACTGCTGCTCACGCAACGTCAGATCTGTTACGTCAGCTAACAGATGTCTGCGCTGACTAGCATCGTGTTAAGTGATGGGGGGAGAAGGAGGGGCCATCCTGCCCACCCAGAGAGAGCGAGGCCAATTGTGTTCTGTTGGACTCCCGGCTACGGATGGCTGTAGCATCACCACGGATCGAACTTGCGATCTCCTGATGATAGGGCCAACGCTTAGACGGTTGTGCCACTCAGGAGCCTGAAATGGCTGTTTTGAATGGAAATTAAATAAATGAAGGGTAATCTCTGACTTTTGTGCAGAACCGTATATCGAGGTTAGTGATGATGTACTGCACTGAAAACAAGCACATATATCTGGTATATACGGTGGTGTGTAAAGTATTCATCACATTTGCACTTTGAACAACAGCAAATCCCAGGAACAGACCTGGATGCAGCGCAGCTGTGTATTCATTTCATGCAACAATCTCTTAACAAGCTACTGTGAAATTCCAAAAATTCTCTACTGCTGGTCACTCTACCCATCCACCACTCCTCTTCTGTTAGGCAGTGAAAAAACAAATATGCTGTATCTTTATAGCAGATTTAAGAAACATATCCAAACATATGCAAACAAATCCAATCATAAGTAAGCAAACTTGGAAAACAAACAATATAAGCTGCACTGTAAATCCATAATGGCTTTCTAGCTTTCACCTCACTAGTTGTCCTGCCTGATTATGCAGCTGTGCTGTGTCCTTCAGGCGTCCTAAGATGCAACAAACTGATAGCCAGGAGAATACATTTCCTGTCATGACTTATGCCAAGCAATGTAACTGTCATGGGCTGTTAAAGGGGCATGGAAGCCTCCTCCTAACTCACAGGGGTCCTGGATGATTTATGGCACAGCTTATAGAGCGTGCACGCTGTGCACCGC